AAAATTGACCCTTATGACTGGTTTTGTGGTCCTGGGTCACATATCACAAACGGACAACAAGCACCTCATTACTTCATTAATGTAGGTCTCATGGATGTTCAATGGGATGTTGTGACAAAAAACTGGAAAATGGTAATAGGAATACAAAAGATACACACATGTTCTGAGGTGAGGATCTCCTTCAGGTAGTCTACAGCCATATTTCTCACAGAAGGTAGTGGATGATTCAGACTGAGCATCAGAGAGGTGTCTGAATCTGGCAGGATCTGCATATAAGAACAACATTTTAAAGCCTTGATTTGGGGGCTGAAAGATGTGAATGGTAATTAGTACAACTACAAAAACCCAACTAAAATAAAGATTTAAATTACATTAGCACAAGGGCCGTCAAAATTATTTTTTCACAGCCGTTGTCACAGGCAACTGATGTGCCAGTTATGTGTGTCTCATATGTTCACTCATTCCGGTTTTACATCAGATTCTGATTATCCTGTCAGAATTTATTTTGTGATAAAGGTCAGCTGACACTACAATATTGTGGATTATTTGTTACCTTTAAACTAGTTGCTTAAAGCAATAAATGATAGACCTACTTGATATTTTCCACAGCTCATAGTTAGAGAGATGAACTGATGAAGCACTGTTTTTTCATGGTCAGATGACACTTTTTTGACAAGATTTTCCAGTGCCACATCCAGTGCACATGGATACCTGTGAGTAAAAAAATCACTCAAAGATAAACACCAGAAACAAAACACTCTTTATGAAATAATTACATTTTATGAGCTGTACTATACCACTGAAGTGCAGAAGTGACTATAAACCTACCTGGATTCAAACTGTCGTACAGTAGATTGAATTCTTTGATTAAGAGCTGAAATCCTATCTGAGGGAAGCTCAATGCTGCAGGAAACATACTCCTCAAGAAGCAGCCTGCACGAAGCAGCAATTGTACAAGAGTAAATATCTAATCATTCAGACCATCATACATGCATAATGTCCAGTATAGAGAGAGATTCACTCATAATTGAAGCTACATTAAACCACACTTACTTGGCTGCAGTGTTCTCCAGGTTGCCAGACAGTGGAAGGTCCTGAAACACTGACTGTAATAGTCCAGTACTGTCTGACAAACTTTCATTCTGCTGCTCATCTACAGGGACACAATAAATAAAGCAAATTACATCACGTGGTGTATTCCAGCCTTTAAAATAAATTTTTAGTACACAGGTGAATTAATGTAGTGATGACGTATTCTGCTGTCGCACATGGATTCATTTGAGCATTATATAAAGTTGCCTGGAAACAGTTCACAGCTGCAATCTCATTATTACGGTCCCTGTGATAAAAAAATGAATGCAGCATTTCACAAGAGATGAGAAGAGACTTTTTGCCAATATACTCTACTAGTTGTCTGATATTACACAGCTCTTACTAGGAGCACTTCGGTTACATTTATCCAAACCTGTAAATGCCTTATACAAAGCAACGTGCAAATAAGGGACCTCAGGAGCAACATATCATAAGATCCACCAACATTTACAGAACACAATAGCAAGTTTATAAGAGTAGTAGGTTAATGAAAAGAAGCTACGTTATAAAGTCAACATGAAAAGGAAATTACAATCAGCTTTTCTTCACTATTGAAATGAACTCTTGAATGAAAAAAAAATGGTAATGGTAACTGATTGGAATCTTGTCATTAGCTAACTAGTGCATATATCTTCAGAGAAGAGATGCCACTGCAAGTTTATACAGAGCTCAGATAGAAACCAACCATCCTGGGTCATCACAAAGTGTATGAGATGGGGCAGCAGATAACGCAGCAGGGGACTGATGTCATGAACTGTTGCTATACTCTGGAGAGTGGACACCAGGGTGGGGATAGCACACATGTATCCAAATGCCCTAATGGGAAAAGACAAAAAATATAATAATATTTTAGATGCAGTTAGAGAAAAAGTACTAGACTAGACTTTAACACACCTTATACAACTACTAATTTAGTGTGACATGGAGTAGGAAAATCACTAAAACTTACTTTGGACCAACAATTCCTTCTTTCTGGTTCTGCAAGAGGATGACAATGCAGCTCAAACCCTCTCTGGACAGCCGAGGCATTCGACGTAGAGACTTGCACAACTGAACAGTCAGAGAGTCAACCAGCTGAGCCTCCATTACTACCTTCACTGCCATCTGACACACGATCATGTAAGTGGCAGCCCCGTAGTCTAAAAGGTTAGATTTCAGTCCCTGGTTATGGGAGAGAAAAAAGCAGACATTTATTTAGGTTCTGTTGCATCCTTTCTTGGTCCTGGAACAACATTCCTATCAAATAATGTTTTTATGCACTTCCATTTGGTGACAATATTCAGGTGTAAAATGTGGTAGACAAATATTTCAGCCAATTACAATTAAGTCAATTACATATACACACACAACACATATCTGCAATACATCACTGCTAGATATAGATACTGGGATCACTCACTGACTACGTTTACATGCACATCCCAATATTAAATGAAATTTGGCAATATTCGATTAGTTATATTTTTAACCATGTAAACACTGCATACAATATTCTGATTCCCCAAATTCCAGTTTTCACCCCTGGAATATCCCTGTTTTAACTGTAAATTTGTTACATTAGAAATAGTGTAAAAACTATTCTTTTGAATAGAATTATTAAAAGATATTAACATGACTGTTATTATTATTAACATTAACAAATGCCCGACCCTTGCCATTTTGTAGTGTAGTCTGGCATTTTTGAATTTAATGTGTAATCAAATTTAAAATTATCGTGAAAACAGTAATAATAAAACTAATAAATAAGAATACTGTAAATCAGCATCTTCAATCTGCTGAGAAATAACAGTGGGAAAGGAAACATGCATTTATAGATTGGCATGCTTATAACAACAATGATAACAATACAAGAATATTTTGATGCCCTTAAACATCATATTAGGAATATGGCTGCAAATTGAACTGAAACTGATAGAACTTAAACAGAACTTGATGTGCATGTAAATGTAGTAATTTAATATTGATTAAATTAAATCTTGACGAGTAATGAAATATAATTTATAAATTATTAATATAGTCCATTAAAAACTTCTAAAACACACCCATATACATATATTTATAAATTATAAACTTAACCACATCTGTATTATGTCACTGAATTATTGTCTTACCAGCTGTACAAATGGAAGCAGTTTGGCAATAATAGAGTTAGTTATCTTTTCCACTGCATCAAGTGCAGAAACAATGGTGGATGCATAGAAAGAGAAAATCACACGCAGCTGCGGACAGTTCCTATCCCTGACGAATCCAGAGTATGCCTACAACATGATTCAATAAAGCATTAAAGAATGCAGCATTACTGGATTGGCATACTTTAACCTGCACAGAACCCAGCCTGGGTTTTTTACCTTTACTGAATCTGTGATCATAGAACAAATGAAATCCATGAAGCCCAAATCCTTATAGCAGTGTGTGAGCAGAGATCCTCGGGCCAAGGGAACACCAGGTTTCTATAGATAAAGTACAGGGCAATTAGAAAAGTAACAAATTAAGCTATAGCTTTCTTTACACCAACTGCATATATGACAGAATCAGAAACGATATGGTTTACCTGAAGTCCATGCAGCCAGTGCCATTTGTGGGTTGGATCTTCTATCTTTAAAAGCTGGATCACTCGTACAAACACTTTAGTCTCATGATATGGTAAAACACAAGCAATCAGGCTGTCCTGGTTGTACAGCTGAACGTGGAATCTGAAATCAAGTGCAATTTGTATCCGTGAAGACAATATGCAATATATAAGGTGTATGATTTCCAAATGAAATTGCAAAAATTATGACCAAATCAGTGTTTTTCTGGAGGTCTACCTACAAATGGATTACTTACAGCTGTCTCTGCACATGTCAACATCAAATAATTTAAACACATCACCTTTAAATTAAGAACATCTCTAAAATACAGCACAATTTTGCCACTTACAAAGTTTATCACACTCTAAAACAATCTGAAAACTGACAAAGTGAGACAACAGCAAATCTACTAAAGTTACCTGTGTATTAGCCATTCAATGCATTTCAGAGCAGGCTTGAGCAGAAAGTAAGGTGACAGTCGAGTGAGAAAGAGTGAGATGCTCTCGTCCAGTTTCTTGTTCACCTCTTTGCTCTGAACACTGCGCTCTAAAGCCAAAGAGGCTTGACTAAACAGAGTCTCCTGAAACTCACTGAATGCTGGATCAATACCCATCAGCTCCTCAAGTCCCGTGCAGCCTGTTCAGAATGATCAATAGCAGCAGACATTTAGACAAGATGACCATTACTACTCGTTGCAATAAATGCTTATTTACAGGTGAATCCAGCACATGCTTTCAGATGGAGCGGCATTTACTACACAGAGTCGTAGATCACTGACAAGCTACACAAAATCGCATTCAAAATCGCAGGCGATTTTGTGTAGCTTGTCAGTGATCTACGACTCTGTGTAGTAAATGCCGCTCCATCTGAAAGCACGTGCTGGAGATTTACTACTAATCACCAGAAGCGGCTTTACTGACGAGATGCACATGAAAATCGCATTTGATTTTTTGCACAGCCCTACTACAAATATTTAAATATTTTAAAAGCATAGAGTCAATTATGTAATTTGCGGTGTTTCATGGGAGTGAGCAGTCCCTGCAAGCTCTTTTAGCGTGATTTGCTTGCTGCGACTTTCTGATTGGTGATTTTTCTGTACAGCATCATGGGTAATGTATTTTTTTTTTCAACAAGAAAGAATCCAGCTGCTAAACATGAATATCTTAAAAATAAGTTGAAATAATGCAAACAGATGACTTCATCAAAAGCATATACCAACAACCTTCGAACTCACAGTAGGTCTGTCTTTAAAGGTATTTGTGTTATTGTTAAAAATCATATTTATTGTTATAAATCAGAGAATGAATGGACATTTTACTTCCCAACTCTTGTCACTCCATCAGAGATGTCTCTGTTACCATGGGAATAAAAATTATGACAAAAGTGCTCAGTAGCAACCATCCGCTTCCATAAAGTATTGTGAATAACATAAATGAGCCACGTTGCCTAGATCCTAAAACTATTTATATATTTGTATATTCAAGCAAGTGCTCCGTGCACACACCAAATAAAATACTCCACACTGCAGAAATTATAGTATGCAAACGTATGGTTCCTGTATAAAAACCTATGTAATCATAGTTCACCCACTTCACTGGTAGCATATTTGGTTATTAGAAAGCAAATAAAATTGCACAATATAAGTAATTTATGGACTGGACATGACTTCTTTGGAATTTTCAATGGAAGGATCTCCTCTTCCATCTAGATAACAGAGGAGTAGATGCTCTGCAGAAGTATATAAATGTCTCAAGTTCAAAAGAGCAGTGTATCTTGGAGGAAAAAGAAGGAAAAGCTCTAGCAGGACATGTGACTTACCCAGGGCATAGAAGGTGCTGCGGTCCATGCTGGCAGCATCTTTAGGGTCAAAGAGCACAGAGGCCACCACTCTCCGGCTGAGCAGATTAGAGTCATTCTGTGGCAAAGCCAGCCGCTTCAACTGATGTGCTAATGATGTCATCTAGAGACATATGAGAATAATATGAGAATTTCTGTTTTCACACAAAAGTAACCATTGTGCGGTTTCAGGGGGTCAATGTCATTCTTCAAAGGTCAGATTTTACCACAAAATAAATAAAATTTTATATAAAGAAGTCTAGCTGAAAGATTTTTTGTTGTTGTGGTTGTTGCGTTATGATATTTTCATGACAATCAAACATATTTCCCTTCTTCAAAAATGATGACTGAAATGTATCCATACGTTATTCTTCTTAGTTTTTTTTTTAAAGTAACTTTCATCATTGCCAATGTGATTCTCATTAATAATACAATAATTATCTGTCTGAAAAATATTTTACTTCTTTTGGGTGAAACATGACTTGACAGGCTTGATGAGATACATACGGTCCACACATTATGTGGTGGATCACATAATGTCGATACTACAATATTTATACAGCCTTATATTGCTAATACAACAAAAAAAGACAGATATGCTTAAAAAGTATGCCTATACGGTTAATATAAGCCATGTTATCGGATTCTTTTGAATTGCCAAAACACCTTCTATGCATACCATGTTATAGGCATTACAGACAAAAAGTTTTTCACAAAAAGGATTAAACGTTTTGATCTCATCTATACGTCTCTAATCTGTAAAAGAGTACATATATTCCCATACCTTTGATTGAAGTTGTCACACCAGCTTCCACGTGTGAGAATCTGCTTGCGTAATTTATTTCCTCTCTGTTTTGCTTTCGGTAACAGATAAATCAATTGATGTTATACTGCCACCTAGTGCATCGGATGGTTTGTGCCAAATAGAATGAGAACAGAAAAAAAAATAAGAATGCCCACTACCAACATTTACCACATTTTATTAAACATTGATAAGATGTTGATATTTTAAAGATGACAGTTTAAACTGCTGGTTGATTATCTTGGGCAGGTATAGGTCAGATTGTCACAATTCCAAAATAATAGCAAAATAAATGTAACATATGACAATCTATTTTTTGGCTCTATATAAAAACTGTTTACGATAATGATGTTTGTGTGAAAGTACAATTCAAAGAAAAACGGCAATTCTGTACAAAGATATTATATGTGGTTTGCTTGCATGGCACGCTCTGTAAACAATTTACTTTTGGTACTTAAGTACTTTTAAAAGCAAGTACTTCTGTACATTTACTTAAGTAAAAATCTGTCTTTACAACTTTTACTTGGAGTAATATTTGACCAGTAGTATCTGTACTTTCACTCAAGTAATGGAGTTGTGTACATTGTCCACCTCTGTTTATTCATATTTCTTTATTTTATTCATAGGGGAGACCGGGGATGGTTGTAACATGGGTCAGTTGTAACACCTGATTCACTTCACTCATGCTTAGTTTAGTCTTTATTCCACATGTGACGAAGAAGATCCCTGGGGCAGACACAGCAGATTTTAGAGGGGAAAAACTCATTTTGATGTAAGACAGTAGCCTAATTTTTTATTTATTTATTTTTTACTTTATTTACTTTTGTAATGGCAGTGCATCAGCAGCGAAACCATAAATTTTCTGTTTGTGCTGCAAATATAAGAGCTATGGCATGTAATAGCAGACACTTGTAACTAGTTTGTGTCACATTTTGAATGTACTGGCTTAGACACATATAGAAATGTCAAAAATATTACAACCATCCTGGGTCTCCCATATAGTCCTTGACATAACAGAAGAAGAAAATAATTCATAAGAAAAATAAGATCAATAAGATCAGCTATGGGTGCTGTGCAGTGTTTTGGTGAACATGTGTTTCATTTCCACAGCTGGAATGCTGTATTAACCAATCATTAGCCAGGACTGATCTGTTAATATAAAATAAAATATAAAAAAAATGTGCACTAAGCGCTACTACTGACGTAAAAAAGTCAAAAACAAATTTATTGCTGTGTCTCAGTGGGATATTTTATGGAGCCCTGTCCTGGTATGAGGGATCCGTAGGGATAAAATGTGTGACCCCATAAAAATCTACGTGATGAGAGGGTGCGAAATGAGACGCGCTCTATGACCCTGTATCTCTGCTGCGCTGCTGCAGCATCAGAGTGCAAGGCACAAATCTGCAGTTGACTAAATCAAGAGATCAAAACGATCCGGATTATAAACGCACAATCTGTCGCGAAAATCCAGGGCGCATCGCTGTTCTAGTTTCTCGTTTAGTCGTTCATTAATGCATGTGTGATTTACACATTAATCAGCGGGGGGGTTTTTTTCACAGACGGGAAGATGGTGCGTTGCTTGTGCCATGCCGCTGACGGACACTCTACACGCATTCATGGGCATTAATTCGCCGTTCTCTTCATCATATTCCAGGGCTCATTATTGTTCATCAGCGACAGTTTTGTCCTGACAGAAATGTCTGGGCCAACGACTCAGAGATGCTGTTATCGCATCGCCTCGTAGAAGCCTAACAGACCATGATGAAGACCGAATCCTCATCCTCCTCCAAGCCAGCGAGCACCACCGCGCTACGCAGCCCCTCTCCTCACCGCAATGCGTACGAGGCGGCGGGGATTCAGGCGCTGAAGCCGGCGAACGATGTCTTAAATAACGGCGACGCTCATGATGGCAAGCCGAAGCCCACCAGCCGCGGTCGCGCGTACGGCTCGAACGTGCACCGCATCAAAAACATGTTCATGCAGATGGGCGCATCCTCACCCACCGAGGTTGAAGACGCGCAAAAGGCAATCGGCGACAGCAAAGCGGTGCGTCTCACGCTCCCGCGGGCTGGCAGCCTGAACGAGAACGTGGATCACAGCGCGCTGCTCAAACTGGGATCTAGCGTCTCCGAGCGCGTCAACCGCTTCGATAGCAAAACGGACGCGTCGCCCAGGTACTCGAAGCTGCAGGAGACAAGGAAGATCTTTGAGCAGCAGCAGCAGGAGAAGCAGGCGGCTTCTAATCGTGTGCTACTGAAGAAAGAGCGCGCCGCGGGCTTTCATGATGCGTCACGTTTGGATGTGGTCGCGCGTTTTAACGGCAGCACGGAGTCGTTGGATAGCCTGGACGCGATCGGTGGGACCGGCGAGGCCGTGTCGCCCACTGTCAGCCAGCTCAGCGCCGTTTTCGAGCGGGCCGCCGAACTACGGAACAACCTGCACCGGCTATCCAACACGCCCCCGCTGCCTCTGCGCGGGGTCACCGGCCGGGTCGGTGCGCTCAACTCAAAAATCATCACCAAACGGGTACGCGCTTTTCCTTCAGGGGCATACAAGGAGGATGGGGTAAACCAGCACCAGGATGAACAAGATGGGAGGTGTAGCAGCCTCAATGGAGCGTCTGAGCTTCAGGACATTATCACAGCTGTGGATACAGAGTCTTTGGATGAGAAAAAGACAGGGGAGAAGGATGAATCTAGTGCCAATACATCTAAGACTCTAGATAAGTGTAAGCCAGGACAGGCCAATGCCACAGAGGCAAAAGGCACTCTTATTTCTGCTGATGTCCGTCATTTGGAAAATGGGGGAGTTACTTCCAATGGAGAGGCTCTGGAGAGAGACACTATGGAGTCTGGCATCACCAGCACTGGAAGGAAGGGCGAGGATGGACATGCTCGTCCATCAGTGGGGGTCAGTAAGAAGGAGGTTGATGATGGTACTCTGAAGGAGAATTACTCTAAGGCTGATTTGGTGGATATCGGTGCCTACAATGCAGTAGGAGAAGACTCTGGTGGTAGTCAGCTTGAGGATGAGGAGGATGAAGATGATGTATATGAGCCACAGTCAAGCTGCTCTGAGATTGCTGGATTGCCTGTGGAGGAGGATCCGCCCCCAAGCCGGAAAATTAAATTCAGTACTGCACCCATTAAGGTGAGTTTATACCTCAAAGGAATATTTCACCACAAATTAAAAATCTGTCATCATTCACTCACTCAAAACCTGTATGATGTTCTTTCTTCCTCGGAACACAAAATAAGATATTTTGCAGAACATTTCACCTGCCTTGTCCATCTAGGGCAGTGTTTCTCAACCAGTGGGCATCTGCAAACCTCCATGGGGGCCTCGGGATAACTTAAAATGATTTAAATTAATAAATTACTATTTATAGATCAAATAATTGAACTGTAATCATAATTAAAATGCTACAAAAACACAAAGTCAAGCTATAAACTGAAATCATGTTTCTATCTTATCTCTCAATTACTGTTGTTTGTATTGAAGAACATCAGTTCATGAAACATCTGAAATCATACAATGAATTATGGTTAATTAATTTAATATATTAATACTTCCAGTTTCTGTTGATAAAAAACAACTTTGTCATAATTACAGCATATCTATAATAATATCTATAATAGCCTATATATGGGTCCAAAATGTTGTGTTGGACAACGTGTGGCCTTCGAGTCAAAAATGTTGAGAACCACTAATCTAAGCTTTATCAAACTCCAAAAAGGACAAAAAATACTTTAATTATAGCAGTTTCATAAAGGTATGATTGTGCGCTATATATCAAGTTTTATGGAATCATATGATAGCTTTATATGAAGAAAAGACTAAAATTGAAATGATATACTGAAAATCTTCTGCTGTAGCTTAAAATTGTAATTTGCATCATTGACACCAAACACCACTGGATCTCACAAGTCTCATAATCAAACATGAAATTATGATGAATGAGATTTGACAGTTATGATGGAGGGTATGATTTTCAATGTGTGCATATTTCATATATTAATTAGAAATTAGGAATATTGAACAAAATTAATACACTGACCATGTTTTTCAGGTAGGAGAATATTTATTCACATTGAAAGGATTCTTTTATAAACCCTTTGATTGCTCTGTATTTAGATGTACTGTGCTTTGTGTTCTTATTTTTATATCTTGTATGTTTGGCTTTTGTTTTATTTTAATGTTCATTAAAATGAATGAGAGGGGTCTGGTTCACTTAAAATGGTCGCCTGGGGACTGGCATATGTATTAGGATGAGTGAATGAATGAACTTCATACATTATATCATTCAGTCTTTTATTTATTGGTTCCTGTAAAAGCCTCAGTCACTGTTACCATTGGTACGCTTTTAGAGGCTGAAGTCTGGCACAGACTGAATGAGCTGAATAGAATAGAACATAATCCAGACTGTCAGTTGGTTTGTCTTGGCATCTATTCCCTCCCAAGCGCTTCCTCTCTTTGATTAGGTGTGACATTTATCCTGGACAAATGCTGACCTGACATCAGTGGCTGAGGTAACAAATATACCTCAGACAATGTGTCTGATAAGCTCAGCTGGCCTGCTTGTGATCAGGGTGTAGCTATTTCTGCTCTGTAGATCTGTGTAAACATGAACCGAACTAGCATTTACCAACAGATACTTTCAGGACACCATGTCCAATAAAATTGTCTCTAGAATGAAATGTCCCTCCCCTTAAACTATAAATACAATCGGTCACCGACTAGCGATAGCAAGTAGCAAATCATGGGTCATCTGTGTGTCTTTGGTTGCTCTGATTTTTTGCAGGGCTGTGAAGAAAACTAAAATATTAATATAATTTCTATTGAAACTGTTTGGCCTTGTATTTAAATATATTTGTAATTACACATTTGTAATAATAAAGTTGCAATTTAGTAAATTAAAATATATTAACTTTAAATGTAACACAGTATAACACTCTACAGTTAAAATTATAATCAAGTACTTAACATGTACTGTAGTATGTGAGTCAACAAATACTAGGGGTTGAACGACTTCTGATTTTTTAAAGTCGACTTTT